CAGGCGTTTCATCATCCCGTTTGTGAGAAGAATTGCGACTGTTCTTCGCATGCCATGGAGGCCGAAGCTGCAGTGCGCATTTGGCAGAGGACTGTGGACTATGAGACACCCCTGCGGTTCACCATCTTCCTAAGCGATGGAGACAGCAAGGCCTACAACGGGGTCTGTGATGCCAACGTGTACCCTGACACTCCGATTGAAAAAGAGGAGTGCACCAACCACGTGGCGAAATGTCTGGGCACCGGCCTGCGGAAGCTGCCAACGCCACTTCCACGAGGGGAGAAGCTGAAGGAGACCACCATCCAGAAGCTTCAAACTTACTTTCAGGTGGCCATTGTGAACAATCGGGGAAATGTCCACAAGATGTACACTGCCATATGGGCCTCATGTTTGCACTCGTGCTCAACAGACGGTGCTGGAAGTCACAAGTTCTGTCCTGCAGGCCCAGACTCGTGGTGCAAGCACCGACGTGCTGAGGCGCAGGGCCAGCCTGCACCGTGCCACACCCCCCTCCTGACCAAGGCCCAGGGTTTGGCAGTCCTCCCAATCTACAAGCGTCTCACAGATGCGAAGCTGCTTGCCCGGTGCCTCCACGGCAAGACACAGAACGCGGCCGAGTCCCTGAACAGCAAAATATGGCTGCTGTGTCCAAAGACCCGGTTTGCTTCCCGGACTGCTGTGGAAACAGCCACAGCCATTGCAGTCCTGTGGTTCAACCGGGGCCACGCGAGCTTTGAAAAGGTGCTGGAAGAGCTTGGGGTGCTTCCTTCGGAGGCCCTGGTTACCCTCAGCGACCGCCGAGACAGCATGCGCATGCACAAGATGAATGTGCGTCAGACCGCTGAGGCGAGGGCACACCGTCGCAGTGCAGCCAAGAGGGCCCGGGTGGAAGAGTCCTGCCGCACCAGCCGGGAAGGGAAAACCTACGGTGCTGGAGAGTTTTAGACAACTGATATTCCCTCTGGACATGTGTGTATGTGTTCAGCACAAGTTTCGTGCTACTGCGTTTTTCATTTTTGTAAATACAGACTTTCAAACTTTCAAACGCGTTTTTCTCATTTCGCAATTTTGGCCAATTTGCATTTTTTGCGGGAAGTGTTTCGGGCACTTAGAATGGTCATACGACGACGAAATTTGGCACACACATTGAGGAGAGTGCGTAGGGTGCCGATATCTACTTGAATCAGCACAACCTATCAGCTGTAAATATCTATTAATAAATTTAATGGTGGTCGAGTGGAAAAAAAAGGGTAGTTTGCTACACAGATGTTTTTTTCATAGTTTCAAAGTTGGAGCACAATTTCTAGCTAGATATCGGCACTCTATGGCTAATAGGGAGCAAAAGGAGCCATTGAACAACTCTCTGCATGAACATTTAGTATGCGCGAAAGTTCCCGGAAAACTTATCAAGTTTCACCATTACTTGAAACACAACTCCCAAACTATTGCACTTATGTAAAAACTGATTACAGATTTGGAATCAGGAGGAAAAACTGCATCAGTGGTCCAATTTCTGAAGCTCTAAGTTGAATAACAAAAAAAAAGTGCTTTCGAGGAGCGTCTCCCCTTAAGGGGGCCCTGCAACACTTTTTCAATTAGCCATGCAATGGATTCACTAAAAAAGCTTATTGCCTCATGAATTCACCACGCAAAAAGTTTTAGAATCCGTCCAATACGAGCAGAGTTGCAAAAATTTCTCGCACACACTCTAGTTACCTTCTCTCATGGCAGGGGGAAAGAAAATACGCCACACACATCTCGTGGCCTTGAGCATTTTTTCTTTTCTCTTTCCGTCAAATTCGCGGCTTTTCAGTGCTACTGCGCATGTACACGTGGAGAAGTCGTGGTCTCCCGCGACAGCCCAAGTAATTACCGAGCACGCCATGCTCAAATCAGCCAATGGTCAATACAATGGTTGTGACCAGTCATTTTAGAGCTTGTAGTGTCGTCTACTGAGAAAAGAGGGCAATTTCTAGGTGACATTGAAAATTTATTGTGAATTGCAGGCTGCGTGAAGCGCTATAATATATAGTTGGCGTGTTATCGGTAGCCTCGACTAGTGATCGGTAGTGTTTTCTGACCCTGCTCTATGAGTGTTGTAGGGCCGCTTTAAATTTAAAGGGGCGCTTTGGGGCACTGCGAGTTCTTTTCGCATAAATGCTTTCGCGGTATAGCACCACTGCACTGCAGCGAAACCACTTTTACAAGTGGTTACATGTTGATTATTGTACATCTATTTGTTCGAAGAGAATACCTTGAAGTTTTTAATAATTTAAGTTCGAATTAAAGCAAATTCGAATACTCTAATGTTTATTCGAATATTCAAAGCATTGGCATATACGAACAGGAATGGGTGTTTTAAACAGATTTGAACAAAAGTTATCGCATGTTGAAAATTTGGAAGTAAGTTAATGTCAACCCCAGATTTTGCTCGAGAAACTGCAACATACTGCAAATTCTATTTAAATGTGTTTCGAATGTCCACACTCGTTTCCCTTCACACATTATTCCTTCCAAATTATTGTCAAATGCTAACTTGCTTGGTGACTTTTACAGTTCAGCAGAAAATCTTGTTCTTTACAAGACAAAAAAAAAATATTTGTGATTTAAAAAGCTACACAATGCATCATTACATTAACAACTGTATGCTTGAGAGGGCCAGCTAAGAGAACGTAAGTTATAAAGGTGTGATAATTTATTGAAAACAATATAAATATGTATCTAAAACAGGGTTCCCCCCATAACATATATGAATTGAAGTTTTGCAGCAATAATCCTTAAAGGAACATACAGGCTCACACTTTTTCTAGTACCTCTGAACAATTACCAATTGGTCAGCACTAAAACTGACGTTTTGTGACATATGCGGCTCTGAACTTAATCGAATGAGGCGGGACATTAGCCGAGACGAGAAGACGATCCCGACAAATTTTGGGATAACATTTGTGCAGCATCAACAACTGAAGGGTCCTTTGGAACAACCTTTTTCGTGAGTAACCGTGCCCCATAAATAAAGGGAACGATAACAGGCTTAGCTTCTGCTTTATCTTCACATTTAGGGCAAATTCGTACCATCTTGCATGGATCGAGCAAGATGAATGGGGACTTGTGGAATTTCGCAAATTCCATAATCAAAGTACCTTTGCTTTGCACAGAGGTGGAACAGGGTACATGGGTTTGGGAGCAGTCCTGATAGCAGGCAAAGATGCCTTTTGCAGCAGGCTTAGAGCAACCAGAAAGACATGTTGGAGCAGGCTTGGAGCAGCCAGAAGGCCTTTTTGAGCAAGCTTGGAGAAGCCAGAGATCGAGGACGTTCAGAGCAGCCCCGTTACACAGCACTTGTAAAGCAACTTTTGTCCAATGCTGCATTTTCCAAACAATGGTGCAAAAGCAGTCACTCTCGATGGGTTTTGGCCATCATGTTCTACATAAAGTCCATACTGATAACATACTCCTGCGCATTGTATTGTCCACCCATGAGTAGATGCGCCCGAGCGGGGATGATGAACGTGGCTGAAGCAGCGATCAAACGAGCTGGCCCTTCTGTGTCACTCAAAGGGTGCATGCGATAACATCACCCTGCTTGGAGGCCTGCTGTCGAAGCAGAGAGGAAACGCAACACCCACTTGAACGAGATGAAAAGACGCTAGCATTGGGGTGGGGACGTGTGGAGGGAAGGGGTTTGTTTGAGCAGCAACTATAAACTTTGCTTCTAGCGGCGTGGTCGTGATCGCTGCCGTGTGCGTTAGCTCGGCAGCCGTGGGGAGTGGTGCACATACATTTTTACTAGAGTTACCGTATATGCTACCTTTAGGTTAAAAGTAGCATATACATAACTTCAAAGTGCTGCGCTCTCATCGCGCAGGGACTGTGTGAAAACTGTTGGTCAACCTGCAGTGACCATGCTCCCTTACACCAGCATTTTCGAGAGATCCTAAATTAATTGCTATTCCGTTCATTGCTTCGCTCTTGGAATTAAGATCTGACCTTTTTACAGCCACCCATTTGTTAAACCTGAATGCACGAGCGTCCACTACCGAGTCGATAACGGAGCACGGAGGCTAAATGCATTAGAATAGGCGAGCGCACCTTGTGAGCAGTCTTATGTACCTGTCTTCGCTATTTCCGGGAACCGGACATCACCCCCGTTTCTTTTGAGCACCTTTTCTTTCTTTTCTGAACACTGCTATCGAGTTAAACAAATGAGTTCCACTGCCATGGTGAAGCAATGAATGTGATAGCAACAAATTATAATGTTATATAAAGGCTGGAAGCCTACCTTTTTGGATCTAATATGGCGTAACTCTACAGAATGTTAGTGTGAGAGAATACGGCCGTGCCAGGCAGTCTCTTCGCACTAATAGCAATGTTCTTGGAAGGGTTCAGGAGCTATTCGTGCTCCTTTGAGTTAGTGAGCGTGCTAGCGATTGTGACCGTGCCCTCAGAATCAGAGTTAACACCTGCTTTTTGAGCGATCACAGCCTTGGGGAAACTGAAACTATAACAGCTTTGAAGAACCCAAGAACACGATGTTACAGCCACATTTTCGGACACGAGGCTTGATGGCTGTCACACCTTGTGGCTAAATTCGAATCATGAGGCATAGTACAACACTGATAACCTAATTTGGCGTAACAGGGGAGGTTCGGCACAAGAGGGCACAGGCACACCAGTTTCGCACAGCTGTTCCACCCCTGTTTGCAGTAACATCTGGAGTTTTACGTCCCACAAACTACGATACGATTATGATAGGCACTGCAGTGAAGGGTGGGGAATTTCCACCCTCTGGTGTTCTTTTACTTCACTGACATTGCGCAGTAGACTGGTTTCTAAAATTTTAGTTCCATCGAAATACGACCACCATGGCAGAGATGAAACCTGCGACCTTTGAGGCAAAGTATTTTACTTTGCTGGAAAAAAAGGAAAACAATGTGGAAGAGGACGAGACACCCATGCCAAGTTCTAATGCACCCTGGGGTCCGCGACGAGAGGCCGCCCACCTCTTCCATTGCAGGGTGTACTGTCCGAGGCAGCTGGGTGCATCCACCGGATTGGGAGCCACCAGGCACAACATGTCACGCGCCACCTCACCATTGTTCAGCTTCACTGCACCGCATAGAGAAACGATACCGTCAGGTCAGCAATACTAAATGCCCCACTTCTACACAACACCACTGTTAATCTATACATCATACAATTATGAAGAATCCTGTTCTTCATTTTTTACAATGATTCATTCCACACTGAAAAAGACCCAATTATCACATAACTTCGCTACGCATAAAAATGTGCTACAGCAGCATTAACACGAACTTTTGAAGCAGTATTCGTACAGTGAACAGTTGCCCACAAGCACATATTCAACGATGGCCTGTTACGCTGGGGATAGCGAGGGAGCAAAAAACAGAACGCGAAGAATTCTTTTTTTAGCACTTTTTTTTTTCGGAAGAGGCGATGACAGCCGCGACGCTTCGGGTGTTTCTTTCTTTGTCACTTCTCCATGTGCCCTAGAAGGCCTTGTTTGTTAGTCGTGTTCATCTCTTTTCAGCGATTACTTACCGCGTCTGCAAAGTAAGTCGGCGTTCGCGCTGCAGTGCCACTACAAATGAGTTCATTTCTGTTTGCCACGAAGAAGCGGAAGCAGTTTTCACTAAGCGAGAAAGTGGATATTCTTCGGCAACTGGAAGGCAAAACCCAGGCTGTTGTGACCAAAGAACCGAATCGCACCACAGGAATGTGGATGAGCTGGAGGCCTTCAGCTGCAAAATTTGTGCTGCACGCGTGAAAAAAAAATCACAGATTTCTTTAAAGTAAATGTGCATTTTTGGCATTCACTTGTGCATTTGTTTTCGTTGTAAAAGTGAATCGTTTAGGTGCAAGTTAAGTCTTTATAATTAATTTTTGGGCTTTCATTGGCACGACCTTTCAAAATAATGAACAAAATGCCGTGGCCCCCCGAAGTTCGTTATACCGAGATTTCACTGTATAAACACACAAATTTTTAAATTGCAGTGGGAAAGCAGCTGATATTCTTTGGTATAGACCTGAAAAAAGTATGAATTCACCGAACGATAGAGTTTGAATTAAGAGGCATCTTAAATATATTGAAAGAATAGAGGACCAACCAAAAAAAATGAATTTCAGAGGTATGTGGGGTTTAACACCCCAAAACAACCATATGATAATGAGGGACACTGTAGTGGAGGGCTCCACAAATTTCGACCACCTGGGGTTGTTTAACGTGCACCCAAATCTGAGCACACGGGTCTACAACATTTTCGCCTGCATCGTAAATGCAGCCGCCACAGCCGGGATGAAAAATTGAATTTTGTTTGAGTTAACTGAAAGTATGAATTATAAGAGTTTGAATTTTTGCAAGTCTACTGTACTAAGTAAAAAGACCTAGGCCATGAGGGATGCACCAATGAAAGTATCATCATCATCATCAACCTGACTACGTCCACTGCAGGACAAAGGCCTCTCCCATGTTCCGCCAGTTAACTCGGTCCTGTGCTTGCTGCTGCAAATTTATACCCACAAACTTCTTAACCTCATCTGCCCACCTAACCTTCTGTCTCCCCCTAACCAGCTTGCCTTCTCTGGGAATCCAGTTAGTTATTGTTTCACCAGCAGTTATCCTGTCTACGCGCTACATGCCCGGTCCATGTTCATTTCTTCTTCTTGATTTCAACTATGATATCCTTAACCCCAGTTTGTTCCCTAATCCACTCTGCTCTCTTCTTGTCTCTTAAGGTTACACATACCATTTTTCTTTCCACTGCTCGCTGCGTCGTCCTCAATTTAAGCTGAACCCTCTTTGTAACTCTCCAGGTTTCTGCTCCGTAGCTAAGTACCGGCAAGATACAGCTGTTATACACCTTCCTCTTGAGGGATAGTGGCAATCTACCTGTCATAATTTGAGAGTGTTTGCCAAATGTGCTACACCCCATTCCTATTTTTCTAGTTACTTCAATCTCGGCGGTTATTACCTGCCCTAAGTAGACATAGTCTTTTACAACTTGAAGTGCACTACTACAGTAGAACCCGGGTATATCGAACTCGCCAAAAAACGTTTATTAGTTCGATATATGGCATAATTCAATATAGGCTCGGTATAGGTTTTGACACACAGGCACATAACAAACTAGAAGAAAGTACTTTATTAATATGGTGGCTTACTTGCGTGCCCTACTGTGGAACAAAATAGTCCCGCATTTTTTTCTGTGTCAACGACTTCGCTGCCTGCGACAGCACGCACGCCTCCACGTTGTCCAACGAGTCGGAGCAGCTGAGGCCGCAACCTTCCACATTCAAGCAATAGCGCCGGACCAACACAAGTGCACTAATCACTTCAGAGGATGTAGGCAATGGGCTGTCGTCGATTTCCATATTGCTGTCGCTTTGGCTAGTGGTCGGCACGGCGTCTGCGATGTAATCCTCATCCTGTAATTGGCCCATGATGGGGACATCATCGTCCGCCCTGACGAACTCGACGAATGTCGATCCGTCGATAGCACCCGGGAACTCTGCCATCTCGTTCGAAACTTCGGCGGAAACACCTGCGGTGTCTTCTGTGCTGCCAGAATTTGGGGTGTCATCACCAGGCATGCGGAAGCCGGCATGCCTAAAGCAGTTCTGGATCGTCTCCTTCTTGACATCTGCCCATGATCTACTCAACATAGAAATAGCTCCGAGCAAGACGATCTTAAGCTCCCTGCCGAAATGAAGGTTCTGCAGTAGCCTCTCCACCAGGCACTTCCGATAGCCGGCTTTCATTGCGCGTATAACGCCTTGATTCAGTGGTTGCAGTACAGATGTAGTGTTCGGGGGCAAAAAACGTAGCTCGATGTTGCTGAAGGTCGTACTGCAGTGGTGCGATGAACAATTGTCCACAAGCAGGCACACCTTGCGATTTTCGCCAACCAAATCATCATTCCACGACGATAGCCATCTGCTGGAAAGCTCCCCGGTCATCTACGCCTTTGAGTTTGCTCAGTAGGTAACTGGAAGCGACAGCGCATTTCGAAAATACCGCGGTGCCGTGCTTTTCCCGATAACCAGAGGTCGAAGCTTTCTCGATCCGTCTAAATTAGCTGCCAGCAGCACGGACACACGAGCTTTGTTTGCCTTGCCGCCGCTTGTCTTGTCACCACGACACGCAAGTGTCTTGTTTGGCAACATTTGCCAAAATAGAGCGGTTTCATCCGCATTGAAGATATCTTGGGCTCTATATCTTGCTGCAATATCTCGCCAGTTTCCCTCGAACCATTTTTCTACGCTGTCCAGGTCCACCGCTCTGCTTTCACCTGTAACAGCTTTGCCAACGATGTCGTGCCGTTCTTTGAACCGCTGAAACCAGCTTGAACCTCCTTGGAAATCATTTCTGCCAAGCAGAAAAGCAAGGTCCTTGGTTTTCTGCTCGATCATAGGGCCGGACACCGGGATGTTTCGCGACCCAACGTCCACAAATCACTTGTAAAAGGCCGCTTCAACATCTTCATACACAGCAGCGCGCACACGTCGGGCTCCACGGGCACCTGGCCTTTTGTCCGACTTGGCCCTGATGTCTGCCTTGTTCTTCAGGATAGTACTCAAGGTGCTCCTTGGAATTTTGTATGCGGCGGCGACGTCGGACGTCTTTTTACCGCGCTTAACCCAATTGATGGTTTCGAGTTTCGCAGCGAACGACAAATTTCGTCTCTTTGCGCAAGCCATGATGACAGCGCGCCAATACAGTTCACAGAGCACCAACAGGCAACACCACAGACCACGCTGAATCAGCAGCAGCAGGCACACAAGCATAAAAAAAGAAAAAAATGGCGCTCATTTCTACCGCCTCCGCGCCTCGGAGAAAGCACGACGTCCTCTGATTGGCTGTAAGCGCTGCGAGCGGGCCAGGATCATTTCTTGGAGGGGGGTGTTCGCCCACGCACAACCGGGTCTAACCAACTTTTTCTAGGGTAGCGCCGGCAGTTTTACATGCCACCGCGAGGGAAGGCCAACTTGCTGGGGCACTTTTAAGGCACATGGAGTTAGATATATCAGTTGTCGTTGCTACTTTCGTTCGATAAAACAGTAACTCTTACTATATATTCTCAATGTAAACTTACCGAGTTTAGGAATTGTTCAATGATTGGGATAATTTGATATAAACGGGTTCGATATAGTCGGGCTCGACTGTACCTATCTCGAAGCGCTGCTCTCTTTAGAGGTTGTTGTACATTACTTCCGTTTTCTATGAATTAATTTTAAGACCCACCTTTCCGCTCTTCTTGTCTAACTCCGTAATCATGAGTTGCAATTCGTTCCTTGAGTTACTCAGCCAGGCAATGTCATCGGCGAAGCCCAGGTTACTAAGGTACTCTCCATTAACTCTTATCCTTAACTGTTCCCATTCTCGGCCTCTGAAAACCTCCTGTAAGCACACGGTAAATAGCACTGAGGAGATTGTATCCGCCTGCCTTACTACCTTTTTGATTGGTATTCTGTTGCTTTCTTTATGAAGCACTATGGTAGCAGTTGATCCCCTGTATATTTCTTCCAGGATGTTTATATATGCTTCATCGACGCCCTGATTCCGCAGTGTCTGCATGACTCCTGATATTTGGACTGAATCAAACGCCTTCTTGTAATCAATGAAGGCTATGTATAGTGGTTGGCTGTATTCTGAGCATTTCTCTATCACCTGATTGATAGTACAGTAAAAGCTCGTTAATTCAAACTTCAATACTTCGAATTTATAGATAATTAAAACTGTAAGTTGTGGTCCGGCCAAGCTCTATACAAGCCTATGAATAAAAAAGCCCGTTAATTCGAACGGGAGTAGGTTGCGCCACGGATAATTTGAACTGCGCGTCACGCCACCGCGCCGGCGGCTTGGCTAGTCACTTGATAGGGCGACTGCTGAGTTACGAGGTGGCGTTGACAGGGAGCGGAGAGAAAAACGGAGAAACTGGCATGGAGGCCAGAGTGCAGAAAATAGCGCCACTAACTCTTCACCCCCCCCCCCCCCCCCAATTTCTCTCTCTCGGTGGCTGCCTGCTCTCCGTCCTACGTAACCTCTAAGATTTGTTTTTTTTTAGCGCCAATCTCGGAGCCTTTGAAAATCCTGCGTAGTTGTCGCTGTTAGATGACAGATGGCATGACCAGCACACAGCAAATCGGGTGCGTCGTAGCTTTGCCCAGCCTTCTCTGCAGTCTCTGTCTCGGGCGTGCGTCGTACACCTCGATTGTTGGTGCTGGGAGTAGCTTCCCACTGTCGCGATACATTGTGTTGGTGTTAGGCCTCGGTTAACGTTTGTTGCGGTAGCGCCGGTAGTCGCTTCCCGTCTGTCATGATTCTGCTGCTCCAACTTGATGGCGCGTGCCCACGGCAAATACCCTGCCAAAACAATTCCTTCCAGCAAACACGACAGCGGTACTGCAGCCCATAGACCAGGGTATAATTAGAAATTTAAAAATATTTTATTGGCGTCATATGTTAGAACGAATTATTTTGTGCAATAACTACCAAGTGACGCTCCTAAGTGCACTACACATGCTTGTGCGTGCTTGGGAGCAAGTGACAGCGCTTACAATAGCAAATTGCTTTCGCCATTGTGGCTTCAGCACCGAAGCTCTGCAAGCTGACGAGCCACCAGTGCTCGAACACAACGTCACCGCACGCGTGGCGGACGTTTTGGAAGACGTCTGCTTTGCGGACTACGTCGATGTGGACTCAAGCGCAGTGGTGTGTGGTGCACTGACGAATGGCGACATAATATGTCAGGTGAGAAGTGCAAAACCTGTCGCTGCCAGTGACGATGATGAGGAGGAGGATGAAGCACCAGTGCAACCTTCTGCTGCGGAAGTCATGGCCGGATTGAATGCCCCCCGTCTTTTCTTAAGTTTTGAAGAAGGCGGAGAAGAGGCCTTCCGCCAAATTCGCTCGTTAGAGCAAAAAGTGCTGGCTGTCACCGTCAAGAAAAGAAGGCAGACCGCGATCACAGATTTTTTCAAAAAATAAAGTGTTATGCCCTACTCGCAATGTACTATTGTTGTTCTTCACTTTCGTTAGTTCAAACATTCGTTAATTTGAACTGAGGCGGCTTCTCCTTGCGGTTCGAATTAACGAGCTTTTACTGTATGAATGTGGTCGATTGTTGAGTAGCCTGTTCGAAATCCTGCTTGCTCCTTTGGTTGATTGAATTCTAGTGTTTTCTTAACTCTGTTGGCAATTACCTTTGTAAATAGCTTGTATACTATGGAGAGCAAACTGATCGGCCTGTAATTCTTCAAGTCCTTGACATCTCCTTTCTTATATATTAAAATGAATGTATGTGCTCTGTTTTAAATTGAACGACTTTGAACAGCCGCGATTTATCATTGCGTGTATGCTTCTAACCATACATATGTGTTTGTGCATGCTGTTCCACAATACAATACGGTTGCTACGCCTACGAATAAAGGACACCGCCCCATGCCTCACAACATAATACGACAGCCATAGAATTTTGCAGCAGTAATAGCCATAATGTGGCAGCCTGGATGCTTAATTGGCCATGCACGTGTCAAGATCACGCACCTCCTTCAACCAACGACTGGAACTCCTTGTCCACTGTGCTCACATGCGGGCTCTGCAACACAAGGGCGCAATCGCTGTTATCAGTGACACAACAAGCCAGCAGAAAGTAACCCCACAAGTGCTGATGCTGACACAGGGTGTCAAATATCTGGCGTTGATGTAATGCTTGATGCAACACCAGCAGTGTTGGGCCAAGCATTTCAAATTTCATATCAAGTACAAGCAAGTTCACATGTTGTAGAGAGGGGGTGCATACCTATGATAACCCTGTCTGATTAAAAAAAGATATCGAATGCAGACAAGTGCCATATGCAGCCAAGGCTACATATCAAAGTATGCAAAAGGAGCAATTTATTTTGCTATATTGAAAATTAAGTAAATAGAAATTCAACCTTTTATGGATACAAAAGGCATTCACCTAAGAATACGTTTTGAGCAAGTTTCAACTTTTCTCACACGTAATAAGATTAGCAATCAACGCACCTTACATTATTGAGGTTAAAATTAGATGACACTCTCAGATAATTGAAGTGATTCATAACATCGAAAAGTTCCTTAATTTGAAGTAAGTTATCATGAGACTCAACTATGATGCAAAAATGTCACATGCACTAAAATTAAAGACACAGAGGAAACCGCAAAAAAATGGGACCAAGACGAAGGAACAAAAAACACAAGCACTGCACGCAATCAATAAACACAACTAAGTTTTAATTCACGAAATCCGACGGTTCACTCGGACAAGTAGCATATAGCTTGAGGCTAGCAGTACTACTGAAGCCTCAAAGAAGCTTCTTATTCTGAAAGTGGGTTGAAGTTTGAAGGTGATGCAGTTGGTCATTCAGCTGTGCAGCCACACACACGCTAGTAAAAGCATACTGACCAGCCTGACTGTGCCCAAGATGAGTTCCAGGGGCAGTGGGCAGCAAGACTCCATGTCCACTTGAACCACGAATTGCTCCTCCGCTCGCACCACCTCCACCGGCTCAAACTGGAACCAGAAGGGGTGAGTGAGCTAGGTGCACCTGCAGTAGCTTGGTGCCTAGTTAAACGCACTGCATTAAAAACAGTGCACAAATGAATGCAAGACAATTCAACTGCTTCAAGTACGCTATTGCACGAGGAATCTTCTGTCGTGATCGATCAGTGGTTATGGTGCTCGACTGCTGACCTGAAGGCCGCGAGTTCAACACCAGCTGCGGCAGTCACATTTCGGTGAAGGCGCAATGATTGAGGCCTACGTACTGTGCGATGACTGCATTTTAGAGATCACCAGAAAGTCGAAGTCCCTTACAATCATGCAGTGGAAAGCATGAAAGTCACAATACTGAGTCACAAAAGATTCTTAAGTGAAGGCAGTTTTTTTATACTGTCTGCTATAAATTTCAGTAATAACACTGCAGTTCCGTTCTACCGAAAAAAACTTTACAGCACTGTGCAACACTGCCTTTGAATGCAGGGGCAATGCGAGGATTTGTTTTTTACTGAAGGGGAGGAGGGGCACTCGCAATTGAGTTCCAAGAACATGTGTTGCGTTTTAAATATTTTTTTCTCTTAGGAGGTATTTTAAATATATTTTATCTTAGAGAAATAATATAAAGAGAGGAGGAGGGGGGGGGCAGGCAAAAAACTTTTGGGGGTGCTGCTGCCCTGTGACCACCGCTGGCACCGTTCCTGTTTGAATGACATTTGCCACGCCGTGCTGGTGCACTGGTTCACTTGACTGCTAATTCGAAGGTCACAGGGTAAAATCCTTGCTGTGGCGGCTGCACTTTCAACAGAGACGAAAGTGTTCGAGGCCTGTGGTGTACTTAAAGAACCCCAGATGCTCAAAATTTCCAGTGCCCTCCACTACGGCGCCTTTCATAATCATATTATGGCATTGGGACGTTAAGCCCTATACATTATTATTATGTTTTAATGAGATATACACATGTGGGTAAATTATTACTGTGTACTAATGTTTATACAACAAAATTTACCGGTAAAGGCAAACACGTGTTTAGCGAATAGGGTTGTGCGAATATTCGAATGGCTCAAATAATCAAATGAATAGTAGAGGAATCAAATTTACTTCGATTCAAATTTAAATAATTGAGAATTTCTAAGTATGCACAATGAATGAATAGATGCATGTTACCGTATTTACTCGCGTAACCCTCGCACTCGCATAATTCTCGCACCCCCCACATCCTCTAACAAAAATACGTTTTCTTTTTTTCCTCGCGTAATTATCGCACCCTTGAAAACTGAAGCAACAATGTCGTCTGCTGGTTCCAGCCTCTGATGATGATAGCACGCGGCTTCTGGCGCCATCTCTTAACCATCAAGCGTACTATTGCACGGAGATTCAATCCAATCCAAGCCTAGCCGAAGTGGCCAGTGCGCGTTGCGGCGTGTTTTGTATGTTGTGTCGGTAATCTTGTCAGGTTATGAGGCCATACTGAAGCTACACGGCTGCTTTCAAGTTGAAAGTGATAGATCATGCACTAAACAACGGCAACAGGGCCGCTGGTAGGCCCTTCGGAGTCTACGAGTTATGTGTTCGCTACTGGTGACGGCAGCTGCAAGCCACCAAGACGCGTTGGGCCTGCCGTGTGTCTAAAACTGGGATTGATGGTAAACTTTATTCAAAAGGAAACTGCGGACGATTCTGTTAAATAGCCATCAGCCCAAAACTAATGTCCTACGCTTACCTTTTGAGGGCTGCTGTTGAGTGACGAACGCTACCGCTACGCCCGCAACGTCCACAACCTTTGCGTATGGTATTCTAATTCTCGACTATTTGCTTCCACTTTTTGTGTCTCAAATAAATCTTGTCTAGTGTTAAACGTCTGCTTTTATTGTTGAGGTAAGTTTTAATTAGTACTTCTTAAAGCTTGCTGTTAGTTGCTGGTGTGAGAAACCCGATTTGCAGCCACTTCGTTCTCTTTTTCCCTCTGTACGTTTTTGTAAAAAGTTTTTCCCGCGTAATTCTCACACCCCCCAACTTTGCATTGGTTTTCCGGCAAAAAAAGTGCGAAGATTATGCGAGTAAATACGGTAGTGTGCTTTCAACCCCCTGTAAAGGTGATTTCACTGCATTATGGGAATGCTAAACCGTGAAAGCATCTAATTTAAAGGGCCCTGCAACACTTTTAAATGCAAATGCATTTCTTAGTCGGGGCATGTCAGGTGTTTTTCAGAGTCCGCACACCAGCAGGTGTTATCTCTCCACTCTCACTTTCTCACCCCTAGCAACAGATGCGGGGCGCGTAGGCTTATCCTCGCCCCTAGCAACCAGAGCAGTTGACGTGGGTGGTGTAGTAGAGAGTAAGTGGGGAGAGAGAAAATGCGCGCTATGGCGTGTAAGGGCGCGCGCATTGCCGGAGCTCGGCGGAGCTCCCACCTGGGTGGAGAGAGTGTCACAGCCATTGTATCAGCCATCGACCAATTTAAGCATGGCACACTCGGTCGTTACTGGGGCCAGCGTGAAAGGCCACCACTTGTCTACGCATACATGCGCGATCACACTGAAAAAAAAAAAAACAAGATAAAAAGTGCTGGCCGTCACGAGGCACAAACGTGTTTTCTTTTCCCATGCCATCCCCCTTGCTTAGCTTCCAGCACTTCCGCATGGATGAGAAGAGAGAATGCAATTATAGCATGCAACAAATATTTGCAACTCCGCTCGTACTGGACAAATTTCAAAATGTTTTGTGGCAGTGAATTCGTGAGGCAATACGCTTCGTTAGTGAAGTCATTGCATGGCTACTTGAAAAAATTTTGCAGGACCCCTTCAAATGAACATAATATTTTCAAATTGATTCATCGTTTTTTTAAGCAAAGGTTGTTTTGCCAGCTTTCATGCTTTAGGTATAATAAATTTTTAAATGCTACATATTTTACAGGTTATCACTGGCATTCCGCTGACAATATAGTTCTGCTACCTCTCAAAGTTGTTTCGACTTCCTTTGAATGAAAAAAAAAAAAGATCCATTTGCATAGAGGTCTTATTTCAATTTAAAAAAATATTGGGCAGGTTAGTTAGGTAATGATAAATATGGCCATTTTTTTTATATGTCATATATACTACTCGAATTCGATTCGAAATTATTCGACCAAGGTCCCTATTCTCTTCTATTTCAGTTTGAACCAAGAATTCACTATTCGCACACGTCTAATAGAAAAACAACCCTTCTGTTTTTTTTGTTTGTTTTTTAAGCCTTTGCTCTTGTTAACCAATCTGTAAAGGCATAAAGGCTAAGGGCAATAAAGAGCTTACTTATCCAGTGAATAGTGCAAGCTAGTTGAGTACTGAAAGTGTTAAAGTGATATTCTGTAGAGTACAGTACATGGGAACAGTACATTGGGTCAATATTTTCTATTTCTCAATTTAGTTTTTTTTTTTTTTTTGCAATACCCCCCTTCCTTAATGTTAGGAAATATCAGAACAATATATGCAGTAGAAATTGAGAAAATAGCATTTTACTAATGTGTTGTCATTACAAATCACATGATAGTCTGGCTACCATGTTGAAAATATTTTTACTTTCCCTTGGCACACTGCCATCTTCTTTGCAAATGGTAAAGAGGAGAAATCAGGTCAGAACAGCCACACCACTATATTGTCATGAGCAAAACAAGACGGACAGCCAGAAGTTCACCTGCACCAGAGCAAAGAAAATGTTCTCTTCTTCTTCGCAGTCCAAATGAGCCACAGCGGCTCGTTCATCAATGGTGACATTACCCCCTTTCCCAAGAAGCATCTTCTCGATGCTGTACATGAAGGCAAAAAAAAAAAAGAAAATGAGATGAAAATTACTACGCAAGCAAAATGAATGGCGTGAGGCAGAATAACATAGTTGGTTGTGGAGTGAAGAGTTCAATGAGAAATAAGAAAAATAGGAAAGAATGTAAAAAAAAAGAGCAAACAAAAAGAAAGACGCGAAGTTACCAATAAAGTCAGTCACTCGCTGGTGATTCACAGCATGAAAAGTATGGTTTGAGCCGTGAAACATGAATGACTTCAGTCTGCTGGTGAAACGGGAACGCCTCAAAGTGCCTTCTGGGAGAACCTCGTAAGTGACGTCGCTGAGACGTCGTACGACATTGTAAAGGCCGAAATAGCGGCGAAGAAGCTTTTCTGAATTGAAAATAACTTTACGGTGACGAAGATTGTAGTGGCACGCGTCTGCGGTTTGGTGATGTTGAATACGATGACGAGCAAGTTGACGGGCCTCTTCTGCGCACTGCCCAAATTTGGCGGCATCCGTGTGGTATATCCTTAAGTTGTCGGGCAGGAGCATGGCGTCGAGCATCGTCGTGACCTCGCAACCATGGACTAAGCGAAAAGGTGTGAAACCAGTACTTTCTTGAACAGCAGTGTTATACGCAAAAGTTACATAAGGAAGTATGGCGTCCCAGTTCTTGCGATCGATGTCCACATACATTGACAGCATGTCTGCAATTGTCTTATTGAGTTGTTCAGTCAGCCCATTTGCTTGCGGGTGGTAAGCCGTTGTTTTACTATGTTCCGTGCCACTTAGTGGCAAGACTTCCTGCAGCATCTCTGCAGTGAAAGCTGTCCCACGATCAGTTATGACGACAACTGGCGCACCGTGACGTAAGACGATGCTGTTAATGAAAAATTGGGCAACGTCTGCTGCGGTGGCTTTGGGAAGTGCCTTTGTTTCACAATAGCGTGTTAAATAGCCGGTAGCGACCACAATCCACCAGTTTCCAGACAAAGACATGGGGAATGAACCCAGCAAGTCTATGCCAATCTGATGAAAGGAAGCCTTTGGTGGGCCTATTGGTTGCAGTAGTCCCGCTGGTCTCAAAGGTGCAATCCTACATCTCTGACAGTCGCGACATGTGCGAACGTAGTGCTTCACAGTCTTTGCGAGACGTGGCCAGTAGTAGGGGCGTTGAATCCGTTGCAGCATGCACGTATAGCCGAGGTGTCCGGACGATGGCTCATCATCGTGTCATCATCATGTCACCCCGAAG